GATTTGGAGACCTTGAATTCACCTTCACCACTATGTATGAGTTTTTATTTTGAGGATGTTTGCCACTTAATATAGTTAAGTCTCATCTTCCCATGTAATATTCATACAAGAGAATTGAGAGTCTTCAGGAGCTGAGGACTTGCTTTAAGGGGCTACTCTTGTTGCCTGTCAGCCTGGTTGAGGCACCTCACAGAAGGCACTAGGAGAATACATTCCGGCTCACCCGACAGACTGCAAGTCTCTCTCTACAGGAGCCAGATGCCACTATTTGTAGCATCCGTGCTATAGATTGAATGTCTGTGTCCCCCAAAATCCGTATGTTGAAATCCTAGCCCCCATACGATGGTATTTGTAGATGAGGCCTTTGGGAGGTGTTGAGGTCATAAGGGCGGAGCCCCCATGATGGGATTAGTGCCCTTATTAAAGAGACCCCACAGAGCTCCCTCGCCCCTTCTGCCGTGTGAGGACACTGCGAGAAGATAGGAAGGCGGGCTCCTACCAGATACCAAATCTACCGGAACCTTGATCTTGGACTTCAAGCCTCCAGAACTCTGAGAAATAAATGTCTGTTCTTTATAAGCCCCCCAGCCTATGTGTGGTGTTCTGTAATACAGGATGAATGGACTAAGATAGTCCAAGAGCCTCCAATTCTTTCTCCTCCATTTCTATCCACTTTCCAAATTCTCTCTCCTTTTCCTTTTACCCATCTGTTGACTTTGAATTTTTCCGAGGCCAATTCTTCCCATTCATTCATTCAGCAAATGTTGAATAAACCCCTATTTTGTGCCTGGCAGGCATTTTTCTAGGTGCTGAGGATAGAGAAGGGGGAGATAAACCAGAAAAAAAAAAAAACCCTTGCACGTTGATATGCCTTCTGGAAAGGCCATCCCTGGTGCCCAACCGGGAGAGTGTCCCAGTGCTCACTATTTCTAACTCTTGGTACCTCTGCTAAGGTGTGCCATTCATGGCAACCGGCACATGAGTTTCTGATCCCCCCTGGAGAAGGAGGGAGCCATGTCTCACTCATTTTTGTGTCTTTAGTATCTACTTTGGGGTCTGTCATACAAATTATTTAATAAATATTTTGCAAAGAAATGAAAACAGCCTTAAAAGGCTTAGCACCTCCTCAAAAACTAAGATTTGATTTCCAAAGGGATCCCTTCCCCTCCTCCTTCCATGGCTGTGGTGTGTCAGAAGAAATGTAGAAACTGAAAAGCATTTCAGAAAGAAAACAAGTGAGAAATACCAATTTACATCTGAGATGTAGGTGCACTCAAATGTTTTCATTGAGGAATAGTTGGTGTATACCGAAGAGTATACAAAATACTTGTACATACTAATAAAACAACCACCTATGAAAACCACCACCCAAGGAAAAATCTAGAACATTGCAACCTGGTTGCATCTACTTAAGGGCCTCCTCCCTCTCACACTCCCCTTAATTTCCACCAGTGGTAAATACTATACTGAGTTTTGTGTTTATTGTGCTCTTGTTTGATTTTCTCTCGTACACTTTTACGAGGTGATGCCAAAATGTTTTCCAAAGTAGCATCCCAACACACATTTCTGCTGGTAGTGTAGGGCAGCCCTTTACAATATACTTCTGTTCAAAACTTAGCATTGTCAGGGGCCAGCCTGGTGGCGCAAGCGGTTAAGTGCGCGCGCTCTGCTGCAGTGGCCCAGGGTTCGCCGGTTTAGATCCCGGGCGCGCACCGATGCATTGCTTGTCAAGCCATGGTGTGGCGGTGTCCCATATAAAGTGGAGGAAGATGGGCATGGATGTTAGCCCAAGGCTAGTCTTCCTCAGCAAAAAGAGGAGGATTGACAGATGTTAGCTCAGGGCCAATCTTCCTCGTGAAGAAAAAAAAAAAAACAACTTAGCATTGTCAGATTTTAATTTCTCTGGGTATAAAATTATTGTATTGGGGGCCTAATTTGAACTTTCCTGATTCCTGATAAGGTTGAACATCTTTTCCTAAATTTTTTAGCATTTTCATTTCATTTGTGAAATACCTACTCATGCCTTTTGCCTAATTCTTTTTAGTTTGTCTTCTTGTTATTGATTTGTAGTGGCTCCTTGTGTATTCTGGCTACCACTGCCATCCTTGTCAGTTCTATACATAGCAGATCTTTCCCTCCTAGTTTGTGGTTGGATTAGCTACTGTATGGCTCCCTTTAATGAATCCCACTGGTAGCACTCCAATTATTGCTGACAATATCTCTCAATGGGCTCAGCTTTGCTACTTCCTAATAAATGTCCTTCCGTCTCTCAAACACTCCCCACCCTGCCACCTAATTCATTCTAATACGTTGTGGCCAATATTAGCTTGCGGGTGTTCAAATCTGATAATGTGACTTATCTGTTTAAAGTCCTTTAGTGACTTCTTATCACACACCTCAGAATAAGTTCCAGGTTCCTGAACGCCTGTCTGGGCCCATCTGAATTTGACCTTTAGTGTCTCCCTGCTTTCCTTGAATTCTGTGCGGTCATGAACTACTTGTGTTCTGTAAGTCCATCCTTACCTTAATAATTCCCATTGGTCCCTTAGGTCTCAGTTTAGGTATCACCCAGTCTCTGAAGCCTTCCGTGATGCCTGCAAGACTGACTGGGTTGCCCGTCCTGTGAGCCCATAGCTCAGTGTCCACACATTAATCTCCCTGTATCGTAATGGTCTGTTTATTTGTCTGCCTCCCTTGAGATTCCTAGAGTCTCCTGGGAGGAAGTCTTTGTTTTGTTCAATGTGGTATCCACAGAGGCCATCACAGTGCCTGGCTCTTAGTAGGCATTCAATAAATGATTGTTGAGTAAATAAATGAGTGACATCCTCCAACTAAATATGGTGCATGCATATGGCGGCCACCTTCACTGAAATGGTCTGTAGAGAGTTATAGAAATATTTTAAGGCTGATTTTCAATTGTAATTCAATCTATATGTCCAAGGATGGCCATCGTGACTGAGTGTAGATATTAAGAGGTGAGCCACAAATTTCCCTCCAAATTTCAGTATCAGAAAACCATGACCCTAGTTCCAGCACTGTCTCTAACTGCTTGTGGTCTTAGTTAGATCAACTACTTTTCTGGCATTCATTTTCATCTAAAAAAAGTTTCCATCTCCTACAATAACTTTCAGTTCTGTTCTTCATTGAACATAATGGTTCAGCCGCCTGCATGTAGCTTTATAGCATCAATCCATTTCCTACTTATGCTGTATGTTCATGAGGCCCGTGGTGCTTAGAAGACTTTGTGTCCTCAAGCCTCCACCCTCTCTGTCCAGTTTTGATATAACCTATTGGATCTGGCTCTGGAAGTGGAGTTGGCTAACAGGTCCCAGATCAGGGGTACTGTGGTTTGCTTCATGACCTTGAGCAAAACACCGTTTCTCAGTACTTCCAATTCCCCCTTACTACAGTCACCTTATAGCCAGCATCTGAAAAGAAAGTAAAAGAACTATAGGGAAAGGAAAAAAATTTAAAAAATGATATAAATCTGGCATGAAAAACTCATTGACAGTTTTATTAGTTTATCTCCTATTTTCAGTGTGTATTCAAGACTGATCTGTTTACTTTGTGGTTTGATAAGGTCAAATCTGAGTCTTGGTTGAGACGTGGCTTACAGCTGCATGCGTCATAGCTGGTGGTCATGTGTAATTTAAAAATAATAAATTGGGGGCAGGCCCGGTGGCGTAGTGGTTAAGTTCACACACTCTGCTTCGGCAGCCCAGGGTTCGCAGGTTCAGATCCCAGGCACGGACCTGTGCACCACTCATCAAGCCATGCTGTGGCGGCGTTCCAGATATGAAATAGAGGAAGATGGGGACAGATGTTAGCTCAAGACCAATCTTGCTCAGCAAAAAGAGGAAGATTGAAGACATGGCAATGGCTCTTAGCTCAGGGCCAATTGTCTTCATCAAAAAAAAAAAGAAAAGAAACTACCTGTGTGAAATGCATTGTTATGTGATGTCCGAGATATGTGCTTGTGTGCGGTTGCATGACTGAGTCTTTGTGGCCCATGGCAGCCCTGGGTTCACTACCTCTCCCAGCGGCAGGAATTCTGGTGTGCTGAGTTCAGGTTATAGTCTCATTCTGCCACTCATCTGTATCATTACCTTGGGCCTGCAGTCTCTCAGAACCTGAGTTATTTCCTCTGGAATATGAAGAATGTCTTGGTGAATAGGAAGAAGGGATTGCAGTTAAACTCAAGAACCCAATCAAACAACATCTACATAAATAAACCCCACTATTATAGGAAGCAAGCTGGGGAAGAGGCCAAGATGTCCAGTGGAGTGATCTTAGAGCTTTAGGAGTGAGCCTTTGGACCCTTCCTCCTGCAGCAAATGCAATTTGACAGTCATTTAACGAATATCTTCATTGCATGGGCCCCTGTGTGTAGATGCAGAAGGGCTAAATAAGACAGAACAGGGCAGGAGACCTCATACACCGCATTCTGGATGATGTAGGTACATAAATGTAGGTGTGTGTGCGTGTGTCTAAATACCTGTTTTCCTCTCCTGAAAACTGTTCTGTGTTGTTGGCATATCCTTCTAGCATCTTCCCGCCCAGTCTGATGGTGAAATGTCAGACCTTGGCAAGGAAGAGAGAGAGCTTTTTCTTTAAGTAGAGAGCCTTTTTTAGTGCTCAGATTAAGTCACAGCAGAACATAGGAAGGACTGGGGCCGGGAGGCAGGGGTGCTCTCCCAGCAAGGGGCGATAAGCTTGGGAAAGCAGAATTCTGGCAGCAGCTCACCTGTACCAGCTACTCCTCCCCACTGGCCTGGACATATGAATTTCAGAGTAGCCAAAATTTTCTTAGCAATTGATTTTATTAAGCTAAAGATTAGAGAGTCATCAAACCAAGTTGGTATCTCCGCCAGCTCTCTCCAGAGTCGGAGGAGATGAGAGCAGTCCCTCACACCCTTGGCCCCCAGGAGGAAGCTGCTCTGACAAATGCGTTCTCCTGGTGCGCACTGTCTCGGCTCTAACCCGGCTTTCTTTCCCGGCAGGACATTGATGGACAGGCACTCCTGTTGCTGACTCTTCCGACGGTGCAGGAGTGCATGGAGCTGAAGCTGGGACCCGCCATCAAGTTATGCCATCAGATCGAGCGAGTGAAAGTGGCTTTCTACGCCCAGTATGCCAACTGACTCCACCCTCGCTGGAGGTGGCCCGTTATCTTGGTGATGCAGTATCTTGGGAAGGTGTTTGGGACTGAAGCTTTTATTTTTTGGGGGCTACATGAGACAGTACATCCACGAAGTATCACCAAAACGCAAGAAGCATGAAGGACCTCTTCCATCCACCAGCCTGTCTGATATTTCCGTGTTTTTAAAGCACACTCAAGTACCAGCCACAGCTCTGGCTTCTGGAGTGTGTAAATTAAAGTTCTGTCTTGGCCCCTGTGGGATATGGAAGAGGATTTTTGCATATCCTCATCTCGCCTTTCTCCCACCCCAAACCAGGCAGCTGCCTTTAAACAAGATTTCCTAAACCAAGGCCCACGTTCCTTTGAAAACTAAGGCACATTTGCTCTCTTCTCGAATGTGACCGAGAAGGATGCCTGGCTGGTAGTTTTTGCTCTAATCATTCTCAGGCGCATTTGTAGATGCTTCTTTCCTATCGATACACATGTGGCTGTGGTGGTGGCTGTCACCGCAGTTTGATCTTGGTGGCAACTCATTTCTCAAATACAAGTGTAGGCGATGTTTCAGGATGTAGTGATGAAAAGATGGGCTAACCCTGCACCTTGTGTCAGGGGTACCTTTTAGGAAGTGGCGGGAGTGAGGGCAGGCGGGGTGTGATTGCAATGAGACAGTTTTTCTTGAGTGATGGACATCTAGAAAGTCCGTAGAGAGTAGTTCTATTTGCAGCCTTTCTAGAACCTCAAAGATTTCTAACATTCTGATTTAACTGTGACCAGGTCACGGAGTAACTCCTTTAGTCTGTTGGGAAATTTTGAGTATATTGAAGGAACAGCTTAATTGCAGAGAGCAAGAGTGGGAAGAGATTTGAGAGCTGTTCATCAACCAGCTACATCCCGTTAGAAGGTCACAGTAGCAGGTCCCATGAAGAGATTCCCTTGAACACCTCTCTCCTTCAGCCCAGCTCCGCCACACCCATTTGCCGTAGGGATGAGGCCTGTGTTCTCGTAGCGAGCACTGGACCTGGAGGCAGCCCCGGTTCTTATCCTGGCGTGGCTGCTATCTCACTCTGTGATCTTGGGGGACTTTGAATCCCTCTGGACCTCATTCCTGCACAGCAACAAGTTGGAACACTTATGAGTGTAGAAGTGCACACACATCCCCCTTGTCTACAGCCTGCTCGCGATGGAAGGGAAGAGTGCAGAGTGGCCCAAATGTGAGAAGGAAAATAAATGAAAAAGAAACCTATCGCCACAGCTTTTAACTCTGTCATTCCCGCAGCTCACTCTGGCTTTGAGTTTACTTATGACATTTCTGGGGAAGTTTTCATTAAATCAGTTAAATCATTTGCAGAGAGATGTGTGTCTCTGAGAATGGGCTGGTCTTTCATCCCAAGCCCTTCTTGTGTGTATGCCCATGAGTGATCTAGTGTATTCATTCAAACCCAAATGGACTACTCTGTTCTGTTGTGATAGTTGCCCAAATGCCTTTTCAAACTTATGCAAGGAAACTAATCCTTCACGTGGTCCGGGAGGGGACTCGAGAAAGAGGCCGCACACCCTTCTGTCACTGTTACCCCAATTACCTTGGTCTTTTCTTTTTGATTAGAGTCTCAGCAATTCCAGTAATATGTGGTGGGCTGCTCATATACTTCTGCTACATTTTAAGGCATGATTATCTGTCACATTTTGAAAAGTTTGATTGCTAATGCTAACCTTTATTACTGTTCTGTAGCTGTTACAGAGGAAAATGGAAAACAAATATTTTGGAGTTAAGGCTTTTTCATCTCCCCTGTAGCTGATTCTACAGTGAAATTTTAAAAGTTGGGCAAATGCATTTGCCTGGGGACCTCTGATGGCAGGACCAGTGTCCTAACCTGTGTTAGCAGGCGCCATTGTAAGGTGACTCATGCTGGGCTTGCAGTCGGATTTGTCTCTTCTAAGCTCAAGTTTCGACCTCCTCTCGGTTTCCGACCCTGCCTTCTCAGCCACGTGCTTTCGGCCTTAAATGCTGAGTCTTGTGGAGTTAAACTCTGTCAGACAAGTGGAAAGGGTATCCATTTCAAGATCTTTGGCATTTTCCCTGTGCTGACTCATTTATAATCTCCACTGTGGCCTTTTCAAGCTGAGCTATTTCTGTTGCATTTGAGGTGGGAACGAAGGAATGTGGTGGCTGCAACATAACGTACTTTCAGCACGAATGTCACCTTCTCATGTCCTTTGGAGTAACGGCACAGAGGAGGAGGTGCTACGTCGGAGTAAGCAGATCTTCTAGGGTCTCTGGAGCCCACTCAGAGGAGCTGGAGGGCCTCCCACTAGGCAGCCTGGGCAAGACACCGCCACCATTGCTGGGGAAGCTCCCCATGGGGCCAGATGCCCAAGACTCTTCTTATCGATTTCAACCTTACAGTTGAACTTCAGTCTCTCTTTTTGGAGGATCAGTCACTTCATCTGCTTCTACTTTTTGTGTGTGAGTGGTAAGGAGGAGATGGATGCAACCTGGGGCAGAAGAAGGCCCAGCTCTGGGGTGATCATCACAAAAGTTGTCTACGTGCCGTCTCCCGGCCCTTCTGAGAGCCAGGAAACATTTTAGGAGCAAGAAGATGCTTTTGCTGTGCGTGTGGCCAACAGGCTCCTGAACATGGATTCTTTGGGGATTTCTGTGATGGTGGCTGTATTTCTTCACATCAGTTGCAATTCAGCTACACAAGTGTAAGGTGGTCTTCGTTTCTCTGTAGGATTCACCTCTCACCAGCTTCTGTCTTAGAAATAGGGCCAGTTTCCAAGGAATGTTTTCCTGTGTTGTTACTGTGTCTTTGTCTCTTATGGCAGGAAGAATTGATTTTACATGTTAGCCCCCCAATACCACCACAGCCCCTAAGCCAAACGTTTCTTGGTAGAAACACCCCAACAAGGGATGCCCCACCTTCCCCCTCCGTCCCTGGATGCTGCAGTCTCTCCTCTGTCTGTCTGATAGTACTTTGGGATTACGTACCTGGGTCCTGCATATGCCATGCCACTCATTACCTCCCGGAACTGGCCGAGAAGTGTGTGTTCCCTCTCTTGGCCAAGCGGGCACTCTACAGTCTGCACAGTGTGTAACTTGAGAAGCAGAAATGCCACCATCTTTCATGCTCAAGAGTCTGTCACTCGATCACTCCTGAAAGCTCGTTTCAGCCCCTAACTTCTTGACTGCACTTGTACTATGGTGGGAAAGGATCCTATTCACAACAATATACTCATAAAAACCTAAAAACAGCAGGATACAACTGGCCTGACAGAACTTCTTTGCTTTTCAAAAAACACTTCTTCACCATGAAGTTGCAGAATGTGGAGAACTCATCCATCACTTTTAAAATTAGGTTCATTTGATCAGAGTTTGATTTGCACACCCAGTGTTTGAGCTGTACAGCTATTACATTGCTTTCCCTTATTCGATCATATTTGAAAGATTATTTCCTGTGCTCGCTTTGATTTGCTCCTCGATAAAATGACTCATACCTTGAACACTGCGAGCTCTGACCCTCACTCCAGTCTCTAGAAGGTTGGTTTTGATCAGGCTTTGAAGATGGGTCTCCGTTTCCTTGTTTGTCTCCTGGAATTTTGAGTGTTGTATCAGGCACATTCTGAGATTTGTCTTCTATCTTGCACCAAACACACCTTTCGAAGAGCTTCCTCCCATCGTTTTGGAAGCACTAAGGGTTTTCAGACTTTTTTTGTACAACACCCATTTATATTTATTTCTGTATATAGAACTAAAACAAAGAACCATGGTGTTAAAATCTTTGTTGTGGTTTGAGCATCATTGTTGCTTTCGGGTTAAGAGGGTGAGTCGAGACTCCAAGTCCCCTATTCTATCTTTAGGAAGCTGTGATCGAGTGTGCAATTATTTGAAGGGAAAAATAGTAAGTTAAGGTATCTGTAGTCTTTAAGGAAGAAATCGTTAGGTATACATACTGCCCGTGACTCTTGGCTGCAACAGCTGCATAGCAAGGGAAGGCTGGATGGGCAACTGTTATGACTTAATGATTCTCTTTTTCATTCACTGTTCTGTTCTGTTCAAGAGTTTTCTGGAAATTGCTTTACTCCTTTTAACTTTGAATTTTTAAGTTGATTGATTCTCATCACTTTTATCACTAGAGTTGGTTTACAAGTATCCAAACACAAGGTGATAAAATCGAATAGGCTGTTTTTGACCCACTTACCTAACACCTGTAATTGCTGATACCTGCTGCTGCCTGGGGTTTTGGTTAGAAGCATCTCTAGTTTAGATGATAATAACTCAGTTTCCTGAGCTGTAGACTTTCCGTGTCACTGGTTTTGTTTTCAGTGGTGAGGAGTTGGTACCGGCGAGTGAGTATGTGGGTCTTGTCACAGAACCAAGCACAGCAGAGCTCCGTATGGGCCGAAGAGACACATCGAAGAAAAAGTGAAGTTCTAGGACAGCTGTTGCTGAAAATCACCTTACCATGGGAAATCGGAGACAAAATTTTTTAAAGGACAGAAAAAATAATCGTCTCATTTCTCGTTCAAAATGGGAGCTAGCATGATTTCTAGAAGCATACACTCTTCCTAGTCGTGAATGGTAAAAGCCCTTTTACTGTTTTGCATTCCAGTTTGAATAGTTTGTACTGAAATTTGATTCATATCTTGTGTACGTTTTGGTGCGTAAAAGGGAAAAATTGGTGTTTTTGCTTTTGAGATTTGCAGGACAAAGGGCATGTTGTTGGTTTGCTGTAAGATTGTATTCTGTATATATGTTTTCATGTAAATAAGTGAAAATCTATATCAGAGTTATATTTTAATTTTTATTCTAAATGAAAAGACCCTTTTTACTTGAAAAAAATTGTAAGCCACATTGTTAATAAAGTGAAAATAAATTCTATGATGGTGTTTGTGTCTTTGTGTTGAAAGTCATTAAATATTATTTTTAGGGTCTGCATTAGGGTTATTTTGTTCCGACTTTTTTTCTTGCCATGCACAAAAGCGTTATGTTTGTAGGTTTATAATAATCATGGCTTTCAA